TTCAAGTTTAACTCGAGTCTAGAAGATACTGCGGCCGAACACTTCTAACATTCCGGTCTTAGCACCAGTAGTGAACTTCCGGCCCGGTCGGACCAACAGATCGAACGATACTTAAGCAGGAGAGCTTGGCCACATAGGGTACTTCCAAACAGATTGCACGAGGCCATCTAGAGCAGTCGATGACCAGTTTTCTGTCGAGACGCCTGACGGAGGATTTCGCAACGGGTTTTTCTGCGAAGACTGCCTCGACAATTTTTTGTATCAGGGGCAGTGGGACGGACCTAGGCTCGGAGATGGACTTCAACTTCGATCCAGACAACGAGGAGGACTTCATCGGGACTCAGGAAGGGGTACTGTAGCCGCATCACCATGAAGCCTACTTGACCCGACCCGCTAGCGCTCCTCACTCTGCTCTGCGCTATCGCACTGTGCCTAGCACTCATACCCAACGTCCTCATCGGCACGCTACTCTGTTGGGCTTGTCGAACCGAGTGCATGATGCTCTCGAGCTCGCGCTGCTTCTCTGCTCTCATTTACGCCACCACGTTCTTCTTCGCTGCTCTCAGCGCCATCTGCACGTTTGCGCTCATCACTTGACTACGCCAAAGTGGGCAATTCATTCGGTGACTTGCACGGTCGCCCTCACTAAACCAACAAGAATCTGGACTACGATTCACATTGAGTCTGACTGAGATTGGATTGACTTTTTGTGCCATTATTTGTTTGTCTTTTTTTGTTTCGTTTTTGTTTTCAAAGTTTTACATGTAGAAGCAAATTCTCCAAAGCGCTCATCGTTGCAGCGCTCCTCCTGCACGACCTGATGGCGTAACCCTTCATCCGCGCGCGCTACTCTCATACCTCCCCTGCTCCCCCGCCGGCGCCCGTACTCTCGCTTCCCCTCCCCGACGCTCTCTCTCTCGATCCCTCTCCCTTTCTCTCTCTCTCTCTCTCTCTCTCTCTCTCTCTCTTTCTCTCTCTCTCTCAGTCCCTCGCTCCCCCCCCTCTCTCTCTCTCTCTCTCTCTGTCCTTTCTCGCCAAAGGAGCAGTAGCACTCCTCCTCGAGAAATGGCGCACAGCGACTACTACGAGAGGTCGACCATGGAAATCGCAGCCTGCGTTTTCGTTGCTTACATAGCACTGCTCGCTCTACTTGCAATCCTCTTCTTCCTAGCCGTTTTCCCTAATGCTAGCTTGCAACCCCCCGCCCCCCCACCCCCGCGGCAATCGGAGCACGTATTGTACGGTCAGCAGGCGGAGCSCGGCCCCCCAGATCTTCCTCGCGGTGTTCGATCTTCTTGTCTCGCAGGCGGTCCTCGGCCCCCGGTTACTTCGCACTGCAAGCCTTTTGAGCCCCCKTCCCCCCCCMCCCCHCCCCYCCMMCCCCCCCKWAMCYCTCCCYMYTCTTCGTCTCAACCTTCCGACAACAAAGGAAGGGCTCCCCTTTGATGAAGCCGCCAGTGGCAGGCGGCAGAAAGGCCTGAGGGATGTGCCACCCCTCCTGTGGATCTGCTGAGTTGTCCCTTACATGTCGATGCGGAATCAGGACACTGAAAGGACATGGTGCAGGTTCCTCGTTTTCTTTTCCTTTTCGTTCCTTTTTTCCTCCTTTTTTCTTCCCCTTTCTCCCTTTCCCTCTCTTTGTCCTTCCCCACCCACCCTACCCTCCAGGTCCGGATTACGGAGAGAACTTTTTGAGCAATAATTCTTTTCAAGCATAAGTGTTGTGAGCTTAATGCGTGTTATGAATCGAGCGTATCATCGTTTGCTTTTTCTACCTTTGTATCGTTTTTTTTCCGTTCTTGTTTATCACGCACATTCTTCCTCACTGTTTTCCCTGAATTTTTTTTTTTTCAAACGATGTGCGATCTGGCTTTCAGTCGCCTGCGCTCCGATCCCGTAGTCGGATACACAGGAATGAAAGACTGACCGCATACCGGTATGCCCCCTCCCCCCTTTTTTTTTTTTTTTTTTTTTCCCTAACCTCACTTCTTTTTGGAGATATGCGATCTTTCCTTCAGCCACCTGCGCTACGATCATGTATTCAGAAGCGCAGGAGTGAAAGACGGATCGCGTTTTGATTACTCGGGTTCTTCCCGTCTCTTTTGTCTCCATATGCGTTCGAGTTCCATTTCTTTGCCCTTACCGAAAGCTCAGAAATGAAAAGCGGTTCAATGGCGATGGTTAGTGAAAAAGGATCGTTGTGCTTGTCTGCAGTGGATTGTATGCTCTTGCGATGTGACACCCCTTCCCTACTAGCTATTAGCCTAGAAACGAGCTCTGCGTCCCAATCGGAGTTCTCTCTTTCGCTGAACCCTTCCTCATCCCCCATTGCGTTTTGCTTGATCCATGGCTATCAAGCTGCATAGCAGTCTGCCTCCATGGAAGGTTCCAGCCCCCTGGCGCAGCAGCTATCCAGCTTTGCAGAGGATTTCAAAAGGATCAGCGACCAGCCTCTCATTCAGTTGCTCCCCGGCTTGTTAAAAGCCTTCGAATCTAGAGCATCGTGAAAGAGACGGATGGCAGTCCTCAAAAACCCTCCTTCTTCAACCCTATAGGGCGTAGTCTCGTGCTATTTTCCTTTAAAAAAAAAAATGCAGTTCCCCTCGTCTTCGTGTTCGAATGCTTATGCTGTACTTTGGGACGACCTTTCCGCCTCCCCCCTTGCTGTCTCGGGAAGAAACGAGCATGGAATATCGTGCACTTGTTCCCCTCTCCCCACCTTTTTTTCCGAAATCACCGAGATCGATTTCCAATGCATTTGCGACCCCACTTTCACTTACGAGAGGTAGCACTCGCCTCCTAACTGAAAGTTCGCTCGCATGCACGGACATCTTTCAAACGCCCAGGTACCCCACCGCGCACTGCCAGGTTTACTAACCCTCCTCCGCCTTCTAGTTCTTACTACTTCCACTCTCGCACGTAAACTTTCCCTGTTATCGCCCGTAACTACGCACGAGATGAGCAATGGTCTTGCCTCGAGTAGATGGATGGGTTACCGCACAGCAGTAGTTCACAAATACCTGCACAAGCTTCGGGGATTAAGGTGCGCCGATGATTAGGCATTGGAGTAACATGCGAGGTGCAGTAAAGTTAAGTACCTTCGCGTACCATAGAGACAAACACACACACACACACACACACACACACACACACACACACACGCGCGCGCGCGCGCGCACACACACAGACACACAAAAACACACACACACACACACACACACACACACACACACACAACAAAATTCCTGTTTTGTTTTCTTTTTCCGTTGATTGATTGATTGATTGATTGATTGATTGATTTGCTCTGGGGGGTTGCCTCTTCCTTGCGAATACACACACACACATGCACGTGGGGCACACACCCATTTTTAATTTCTTTTTTTTGATTGATTGATTTGCTGTGGGGGGTTCGCCTCCCCCCCGTGAATACACACACACACACACACGCACGTGGGGCAAATGCCCTTTTTTTTTTTTTTTATTGATTATTTCAATTTGTTTGTTTGTTTGTTTGTTTGTTTGTTTGTTTGTTTGTTTGATTGATTGATTGATTGATTGATTTCAGAGAGAGAGAGAGAGAGAGTGGTCTCGTGTGCGGGGTGAGGCACGAGCCATAACATATCTTATGCCCTGCCACCTCTGTGCGCGGCCCCAAGAGCATTCGTGAAATTAAACCACTAGTACCTTTCTCAGCTATTGATGCCGAGCCTAAAAACGCCCTGCGCACCAAATTTTGCCAAGCCTGAAAGGGATCGGCATCAGCCCATGGAAAAAAGAGGGCGGTACGCGTACCGCCCTCTCCGAAACTCGGTGTGCTCGACCTCCCGCCAGCACATGGAATACAAAGGAGATGTTTTCACTCCCGAAAAAAAGAGAAAAAGGAAAACAACAACAACAACCGAAAGAAGTTCCCTGTGCCCACAGTTTGCTCCCAATTCGTCAAGGCAACGGGACTCCAGCACCAGCGGGCAGATGTATCCACCCCAGAACCCCTGCCACATATGTGGCTCTACATTTCCTTGCATGGTTGGCCCTGCCCTTGTCAGTCCCGAGGCGGAGGGATTCATAACGGTCCGCACGACCTGTCACAGCGTGGCCTAATGAGGTAAGTTGCTTTGTTCGCATTTTCTTTTTCTTTTTCGTAGAAAAACAAAAAAAAAGGGAAGGGCTGCAGCAAGGCATCACAAGGACCTTCCTGGATGCATCTGACCGCTATTGCATCCTTATTCGCGTATGCCGTTACCACACAATTGATACCTGAATCATTTCTTTTTTGTTATTTTTTTTTTCATGCCTGACCGTTGAGCGTCATCATTGCAGCTTCTGTAGGGAATTGACTCCACGTGAACCTCGTCTTGTAATCCAAAATGTATACTTCCCTATTTGACGTCGGATTCATCCTGGAAACTGGTTGCAAGAAAGTGCCCTTTTCAAGTCTTTGCCTTTGCGTCCATGCGTATGTGGAAACGCATGCACGGCAGAAACCAACAGGGCATCTTACAGTCATTTGCCCTTTTTCCTTGAACCCACTGGCTTCCCCCCCCGTTGCACTACCAAGGCCGATGCCGAACCCTGCTTTCCTTCCACGTCGACCGCCATGGAATTACTTTTCCATCGTGTAAAGGCGCTGGTGGTTTAACAAACTGCATGCTCCATAGTGTGCGAGCGTGTGTGTGGCGGGGGGAGGGGGAAGAGTGTGTGTGTGTGTGTGTGTGTGAGAGAGAGAGAGAGAGAGAGAGAGAGAGAGAGGGGGGGG